TCAGTAATAGCAGCATCAAACCTACTTTCCTTATATCCTTAAAAATAATTAATAAGCCCTTCTAGATTTTTTAGCTCAACATCAAGAACAACATATTTGCATTGTAAGATTTTGTTTTCCAAATTAATTTTATACAAAATTTCATATCGTATACATAAACTTAAAATAAATTCAAAATTAGTAAGTTCACAATTTACTATTGCTTCAGCATTTCGACACACTTTAGCATCATCACTTATTTTAGATAACTTTATTAAAGCTTCTCTTATTTGGGAAAATTATGTTTTTATTGTTATAACGCTTTCGATATGACTTTCTCAATGAATAACATATAATGATTTAAGTGTTACATCATCTATAAGTTCAAAAAGATACGCTATCTTTTTGTAGAATTAGAGAAACATTATAAATCATTTGACATATAACAAAAAACATTTTTTCCTTGTGGAAAGAATTTATCATATCATGCAAAACGATTTTTAAACTATGATATATGCAAGGCATATAAAAAACTCTATAATTTAAATTAAGTAATCATTTTTTAACGTATTGGTGTTTTCTTTTCATATTTATCCCATTATCATATCATTCACCATGATCATAACTAATATTCAAATCAAGAGATTTTATAGCATCTTGTAGAACATTAAAAAGACTTAGAACGGTTGTATCTTCTACAATTAAAAACTCTTCTTCTTTTAATGTAACATTTACCGTACCTACACATCTTATAATCAAATTCATTTATTCTTGGTGACTTGCATCCCGAGTACTATTAAGAATTACAGAAAAAAATTGTCTCTTTTTTTTAATAATTGCAATTTTTACCTCAAATACCAATATTTCAATTACTTTATTTTGAATTTTATGACTAAGATAATGATTATGTATTTCTTTGTCTTTAGTCATTCAAAATGTTCTTTCATTACCTGATCAAACTCAACAATCGATTCAAGTACACTTAAAAAAATTACAATTTGAATTTTCATTAATTTTTTCATTTGTTCCACAAAAAGCCAAATTATTTTTTGCTAAACATTTTACAACACAAATAGTTCTAACCATAACTTCTTTCCGATGTTTAAAATCTTTTCTTTATCATTTCTGGTAATTCTTTAACAACTGTTTCATTTTTATTTAACAAAATTAGTGTTTCAGACAAAGTTCTTAAATTAGTCATATAATCAGAACTATTTTCATGTTGTTTTAATGTTTCACTAAGATATTTCCAATCTTTAATTCCTTTGGTTGTCATATTACTTTTAATTCGAACAGTTTTAAATAACTTACAATAAAAACAAAAAACTTTATAAAGTTTGTTTGAATACACTAACTATTTTCTATCATAAAAATCAACAGTTTTTAATTTATAAATAATAAATTACCTGAAAAATGTATACCAAGTGTATTTTTTTTTGGAAAAATTGAATTCATATCAATTTCTCTATTACACACTTTTTTTTATTATCAAATCTTTCATTTTTTAATTTATATCATCTCATACTCTAGGATAAAAAAAAAATATTAAAATCACATAGTGTATTTGATGGGTTTTGAGCATTCTAACAGTCCTATGGTGTACATGCAACCCTAGAAACCTTGGATCTATGTTTTCTCTATCATACATGTAAAATTTCATTTTCCAAGGTTCTCATCCTAACTAACATATCATGGGGTATATGTATTCCAAAACTTGGTAGAATGACATACATTTCTTGTTGCTTGGATTCCTTAAGACCTTGTGAGCCTAGCACCCAAAATGTGATGCCTTAAATGCTTCACATAACACTACAACTCTTGGAATAACTTGAGAGAAGAACACTTGATCACAAAATCGGCTAGCACTCACTTTTTTGTCTTAGTGGCCGATTTTGCTTACTATGAGGTTCTTTATATAGTGTGTCATATGTAGGGTTACACCATACAAGCCCTAATGTGCGTGAATTTTTATTTCATCCATGATCCATGAGTTTTAACCTCCATGGAGTATCCATGGAGCACCCTATGGGTCGTAGCCCAATCTAATGAGTCATGGATCATAAGTCCACTATATAAGAATGAATGATTTACCAAATCAATCCCCATACCAACTAAATAATTCTAAATTAATTCTTGATCAATACTAACTAAATAATATGATTTCATAGTAATATATTAGAACTTATAATATATTAACAAATCACAATATATATATATATATATATATATATATATATATATATATATATATATATATATATATATATCATCTTTAATTCCTTATGATCTAAAAAATATGAATTATATTTCATTAAAAATGATTTATTTAAAAATGTAATTATTCAAAAAATTTATGATCCTTAAGTCTAATGATCCAAAATTAATATAATTCAAATGTTATGATTCTTACTATAACACCTAGTTTCCTTATGTTTCTAATTTTGAGATAGTTGATCAAAATTCGATCAAGTAAAGGTCTTGGACTTCCAGGAAATAAAGTTTATACCTTATTGGATGTTGATAATGATGGTTAGGTGATTGAGGCCTTGAATTGTGCTTTGGAGCCAAAAAGGGTAAAATGGGGAAAAGTGATATTTTAAGCTCGTTGCATGTATTAGTTAATTAAGTTGAGTATTTATTAATTCAAAGGTAATTGGAAAACTTTTGTGGCTTGTTAATACATTCATGTGCATATAAAGATTACTGTAAATTCAAATAAAGTAATGGTTCCATGTTTTGGGGTCATTTTGCAGCCTCCATCACACCAAGAGCTCCTTGGGAGCAAATCCTAGCCTCCATTTCACTACGTAAAGCCTCTTATCTCTCCACACATATATTCTGTATGATTTTGGTGACTTTTAGAATGTTTTTTCTTGCAAGATTGAGAATTGGAGCTTTGCATTAGAAGATCTCAACATTCATCTACTTTTGGACCCTTGTAAGTAATAAAGTTCCAAGCTTTATTGTGTTTCTTCATGAGATCTATGAGTAGTTAGTGTTACGGTCCGTTTTAATGGAGTTTTATTCCCTTCGAGGTTTGTTCCGTAGAGCTTGGAGAACTCTTGAGTTTTTTATTGATCTTTGGGTTCAGGTCTGTTCATTTGATGGAGTAGGGAGTGCATGTAAGAGCTCCCTTTACTCTATGCATGAAGAAAAGTGAGATTTAGAAATCTTTAGATCTAGGGCTTTAGATCAGGGTTTTTTTTTATATTATTAATGGATAAAGGTGGAAACTTTATCTATTTATACATTATAAGGAACCAGATTTTAAAGTTGGAAGAATGGACTTAATGGATTAAGTCTTGTTGGAGTTGCTGGAACATGGTAACCACGACACGGTTATTTAGGGTCATGTTTTGGTTCCTGATATTCTGTTGCACGTCTGTGAGTGAGAATACTTGCCTATTTTGTTCTTTTATCACCATAGCGCGGTCAAGGGGACTATCCATAACGCGGTGATCAGTGTTTTTTTGACCATTGGCTTTGATTGTTGACCATTGACTTTTGAGAAGAATTGAGTTCTTGAGTAAGGAGTAGTCTTGGTTTGGCATTAGGTAGCTTGTGTTAGCTATTTTGTTGTTGACGTTGCTTTTGAGCTTTTATAGTTTAGCTCAAGTGAGTTGTCTCACTATACTTTGTACTACATAATAAATCATATGTATATTAGGATGTTGATATGTTGTGGTGGTTTGTTAGATAGGTAGATAGCTAATAATAATAACATGTGGTTGATTGTTTGGTTTTGGTGGTTTTTATGCATATGTCGACATATTATGGGTGGATTGAGGGTGGTCCAACTGTATGCTGAAGGCCAAGATACACGAGATGTCCATCTTTATGTTGAAGGCCAAATGGGTGGTCCAGCTTTGTGTTTTAGGCTATTGTGTGCATGCATTGTATGCGTATTGTTGTGTGAGGTATTGTAGTGAACTCACTAAGCTTACATTTATGAATTAAATGTTTTTAGGTACTTTATCAGTTCATGAGAAGGTGAATGCATAACTGTACACACCCATCAATAGTTTAATGATCTGAGATTTCACAATATTTTTCTTTATAACTCTGATTTTGAACTACAATTTACGAACAAATGGTTTTGATTGAACGTAGCTTTATAAGAATGTGTATTTATTCTAGTTTAAGAATAAAAAATTATTCTAAAAATTAGGATGTTACATTTACTCTCAGATTATTCAAAAATTTGTCAGGTTTAAACTTCAAAAGACATATTAATCCGGAGTAATATATATATATATATATATATATATATATATATATATATATATATATATATATTAAAACATTATAAATAGAAAAAAACAAACAGACAAACAAAAATGAAAAAAAAACTGAATTTAAGTTTAATTACGTTAAGAAATAATTAGAATTTGAATCCTATCCAAATTAATATATATATATATATATATATATATATATATATATATATATATATATATATATATATATATTAAAGTTGTGATAAATTTCAATAGTAAACTGTTGGAAATTTATCAAACTTTGGTCCCTGTAATGTTGTTACAATTTTTGTGGACTTTTTAATTTATTTAGAGGGGGTGTTTTGTAAAATGTTTCCACCGCTTTCAACGTGGCTAACAGTTGATCCTTTTTTGGTATTCTCGATTGTACGTGTCAATTAACTCTGGTGCTCCGATTCATCAACCCCACCTCCTCACCGTAGATTGTCGATGAGCCTAAGAGATCAACTGGTGAGGTCACGTTTTTGTTTCAGGCTTAAAACCACCTCTGTACCCTCTGTGAACATTGGAAGCCACCACTACACCGGCTACTACAAATGTCCTCCGTAAACCACCCCCAATCGTTGTTTTTGTTTTTAGGTTGTCGGTTTCTAGGCAACGGGAAGGCTAAAATCGCATGTTAAGGAAGCGCTAACACATCCACACAACCTGTTACCCCGCCTTGTTGGGCATCCGTGACGAAGATAGTAAGGTTGGCGGCGGTACCGATTCTGCCGCGTACGCTGCCTCTGATGTCCACTATCAATGTTCCACCGTCCTTCTTGGTCAAGACTTATGATATGGTGGATGATCCTGCTACCGATAAGGTTCTTCCCTTGCACTACGAATAACAACTTCATCGTCTGGGACCCTCCTGAGTTCGGTAAGGACCTTTTTCCCAAACACCTCATCGGTAGTCACTTTGTTTTAATTTCGTTCTATTTTGATTTTTAATTAAGGCTTACTAAATATTTGCTTTCTAATTGCAGACCATTCGAAGATGGATTAAGATGTGTTCTTTTTTCTCATAATCTTCCTTTGCTCTCTATAATCTTGGTTTTTTTGGTTTCTATGCCTTAGATTTGTTCTGATTTTGATTGATCAGTCGTTCGATCTTCGAATTGGGATTGGAAAGAGCAGTTCTGGAAGAAATAATCAAAGTAGTTGCATCAATTTCTTTCTTTGGCATGTTGAACTTTCTTTTGATTTCTCTGTGTTCGTATGGAATTGTTTCCACAGAAAAAAGAAAAACGATGGGCTGACAGATTGAGAGAGATGACAGAATCAATCAAGGGTGGTTTAGAGTTTGATGTGAGTTTGATGAAACAGAGGGTCGGCAAGTGGTGTTGATTTTGAACTCCGTTTTTCATATTAGTTTTTTCCAGCTAATTAATCAAGTCCTTAATTATGTTATCCTTTTCATATCCAAAACTAATGCATTTTCTTAGGTTGTATAATGTTTTAGGACCTGTTCACATGTTTCATCTGTAGTCTCAAGTGCCACTTCAGCAACAACAGTTGTTGTACAATGGAAAAGAGATGGGGAATTCTGAGACACTGAGTTGTTTGGGTGTTACAAATGGTGATTTAATGATGATGGTTTTCAGTCCTGCTTCTTCTTCCGCAAGGTATGCTTTTAATTTGATTTGGTTTAGACATCCAGTGATGATGGTTTCTCATAGATATATCATCAACTTTAGGGGTTCTAGCATTGAAGTTAGGTTAGATCCTGATGGACCTACTACAGAAGAGGGTGGGATTTGGGGCTTGCCCTTCCACAACTGAGTACCTTGTCCCCGGACCTGTGATCACTCGGCTCAAGTAGTATACTGGGCATTCCTTCCTATCGCAATGCCCCACGAGAAGTAGAAGTGAGATAAAGCTGCAAGGGATTGGCTGAATATTGATCCAGTTTAGGCAGCTTTCAGTCTCTATAAACTTGATGGAATATCTCTTACACAAGGAAAAAGACTTGCATCAATCAATGGCATGAAGGAGTTGAATCAGGAACATAATTTCAAAGCCAAAGCAAAGGCATTCATTTAGCAGGAGTTTACGCTGCAAAGAAGGATTTGAGTCTGAGAAAGACTGTTTCCCCATTTTCATACGAATAGTGAGAAATCTCAGAGTTTCTCCAGTTGGGGCATAGAAAGAAGACCTGAACTCGGTGTTTCCTCAATCTGAATAGATCAATCTGGATTATAGGCCAGCAAGCCCGGAACCAGCAAGTGGGAGCCTGCTGGCAAAGAGAATGTTAGTGAGTCTTAGCCATGATCAGACGAATGGTGTCAAAGACGAGAAAGAAGAAAGAGGAAAATGAGACATTCAATCATGATTTAGCGGGGGCAGTTAGACGATGCAAGGTATGCTTCAGAAGGCCTAGTTCAATCTGAGAGGTTTCCCATGCTCTCGCTCGTTCGAAAAGGTCAAATCTTTGATGATTCCATCATCTATGATTGAGTTGCGAAAACTTCTGGATAGGTATCCTACATCTGAACCGAATTCTTTCTGGTTAAAGAATCTCTTTCTAGTTGCTCTGAAACAATTAGGAGATTCTCTAGGTGGCAACATGCTATTGGGTGGTGGTCCCGCTTATAGGGTCAAATCAATACGCTCTAAGAAGAAATATTTGAATATAAATCTCATCGATATCATCGATCTCATAAGTATCATACCAAATCCCATCAATCGAATCACTTTTTCGAGAAATACGAGACATCTAAGTCATACAAGTAAAGAGATCTATTCATTGATAAGAAAAAGAAAAAACGTGAACGGGGACTGGATTGATGATAAAATAGAATCCTGGGTTGCAAACAGCGATTCGATTGATGATGAAAAAAGAGAATTCTTGGTTCAGTTCTCCACCTTAACGACAGAAAAAAGGATTGATCAAATTTTATTGAGTCTGACTCATAGTGATCATTTCTCAAAGAATGACTCTGGTTATCAAATGATTGAACAACCGGGAGCAATTTACTTACGATACTTAGTTGACATTCATAAAAAGTATCTAATGAATTATGAGTTCAATACATCCTCTTTAGCAGAAAGACGGATATTCCTTGCTCATTATCAGACAATCACTTATTCACAAACTTCGTGTGGGGCTAATAGTTTGCATTTCCCATCTCATGGAAAACCCTTTTCGCTCCGCTTAGCCTTATCCCTCTCTAGGGGTACTTTAGTAATAGGTTCTATAGGAACTGGACGATCTTATTTGGTCAAATACCTAGCGAAAAACTCCTATCTTCCTTTCATTACGGTATTTCTGAACAAGTCCCTGGATAACAAGTCTCAAGGTTTTGATAATATTGATGTTGATGCTAGTGACGATAGTGATGCTAGTGACGATATTGATGCTAGTGACGATATCCTTGATATGGAGCTGGAACTGCTAACTAGAATGAATGCGCTAACTATGGCTATGATGCCTGAAGATGAAGACCTACTTTATATCACCCTTCAATTCGAATTAGCAAAAGCAATGTCTCCTTGCATAATATGGATTCCAAACATTCATGATCTGGATGTGAATGAGTCGAATTACTTGTCCCCAGGTCTATTAGTGAACCTTCTCTCCAGGGATTATGAAACTAGAAATATTCTTGTTATTGCTTCGACTCATATTCCCCAAAAAGTGGATCCCGCTCTAATAGCTCCGAATAAATTAAATACGTGCATTAAGATACGAAGGCTTCTTATTCCACAACAACGAAAGCACTTTTTCACTCTTTCATATACTAGGGGATTTCACTTGGAAAAGAAAATGTTCCATACTAATGGATTCGGGTCCATAACCATGGGTTCCAATGCACGAGATCTTGTAGCACTTACCAATGAGGCCCTATCGATTAGTATTACACAGAATAAATCAATTATAGATATTAATACAATTAGATCCGCTCTTCATAGACAAATTTGGGATTTGCGATCCCAGGTAAGATCGGTCCAGGATCATGGGATCCTTTTCTATAAGATAGGAAGGGCTGTAGCACAAAATGTACTTTTAAGTAATTGCCCCATAGATCCTATATCTATCTATATGAAAAAGAAATCATGTAACGAAGTGGATTATTATTTGTACAATTGGTACTTCGAACTTGGAACGAGCATGAAGAAATTAACGATACTTCTTTATCTTTTGAGTTGTTCTGCCGGATCGGTCACTCGCACACACTCCCTTTCCAAAAAAGATCAAGACCCCAAGCACTACACTTAGATTTATTAGATTTGTTGCTAAAATATCGGTATTAAACCCGAAACTCCCGGCGGATGGCCAGTGGCCCAAAGAAACGAAAGAATCGGTTACATTTTTCATATGATCTCCTCGTATAGATAGACTAAAAAATTGAACAGAGTTCTTTTTGTATTACTTTGCCCTCTTTTATATATATATTGATATTGCTAGTTTCCTACTTTCTAAATAGAATAGATTTTTGATTCGATTTAGAAATAATGAATTACCTCCTTGGTTGCAACCCCTCTTAAAAACTAAAAAAAGGCCTACGAACACGAACGGGAAGGATGAAAGCGAGTTGGTATGCTAATTCCTCATCCGCAAATCAGCCCTTCCCGTGGGTTATTTTCTCAACGAATAAGTAATTCTAGGAATGAAATCTTTATTTAATTCGAAAAAGCAAAGCACAAGTCCAAGGCAATAAAATATGAAAAATTTTGATTTTTCATATTTCGAATATTAAACAAAAGGATTCGCAAATAAAAGTGCTAATGCTACAACCAGGCCATAAATGGTTAAAGCTTCCATAAAAGCTAGACTAAGCAATAAAGTACCTCGTATTTTTCCCTCCGCCTCGGGCTGTCTCGCGATACCTTCTACAGCTTGACCCGCAGCAGTACCTTGACCAACTCCAGGTCCAATAGAAGCAAGCCCTACAGCCAATCCAGCAGCAATAACGGAAGCGGCAGAAATCAGTGGATTCATAATCCCAGGATCACTAACTAAGACTAATCTAATATGAATTAAATAGAAAAGACTAATATAATATATAATAGAAAAGAACTGTCTTTTCTGTATACTTTCCCCGGTTCCACTGCTACCGCGGGCTTTACGCAATCGATCGTATTATATAGATATCCCTTCAACAAAACATAGGTCATCGAAAGGATCTCGGAGACCCACCAAAGCACGAAAGCCAGGATCTTTCAGAAAATGGATTCCTATTTCATGTTCAGGGGACGGAGTTCAAGGCGAGTAGTCTCTGGAAGTAGGTTCATCCCCCCCCTCTTGGTTGGCGATGGCCAGGTCTTTTGGTATAAATGACTTGCGATAGTCTAGCTAGCGAAGTAGGGTAGGATAGCAAACGATGCGATAAGGAACGGAGTCTGTAGCTGCCCTTCTATCTTTCTTTTAAGAAAAAGAGTGAATCTATAGAGAGCTACCTTCGACTGATTGTTCGCATCGGATCTCAGGTTCTCTATTGCACTCCCTAAATAGGGTTCTTTTCACCTTTCCCTCACGGTACTTGTACGCTATCGGTCATTGAGGAATACTTAGGCTTAGAGGGTGGTCCCCCTTTCTCGCGTAAAAGCGATCAGAATTCGAACACGCCGCGTTTTACTGGGAAGGATCGAACCATGGGAACGAATCTACAGGGCTATCACCTTCTTTGGCCAGATCTTCCAACCTTTTCACAATTACAGTTCACAGCGCCCTTGACTAAACTAACTCCGGCTCTACCCAAACTTTTCTGGTTCACCCCAACATTCCCCACTTGTCCGACTGTTGCTGAGCAGTTTTTGGATATCAAACGGACCTCCCCAGAAGGTAATTTTAATGTGGCCGATTTCCCTTCTTTTGCAATCAGTTTCGCTACAGCACCCGCTGCTCTAGCTAATTGTCCACCCTTTCCAAGTGTGATTTCTATGTTATGTATGGCCGTGCCTAAGGGCATATCGGTTGAAGTAGATTTGAAGAGAAACCCTCTGATGCACCACAAAGAAAGATTCGGAGAATTTGAACTGGCGTTTTTTGTTTTGTTTTATTAGATGGGTTGTTTTTTGTTTTGTTTTATTGTAGGTCGAAGATGATGATTAAAGTGGTCAATTGAAGAAACAGGTACACTATTGCTTAATTTATATGTCAATATGAATTTGTTGGTTTAGCTTATGGGACACCCTTTGATTATCAGTAGTTTTTTAATCTAATTAGATGGTTATTGTTGTTCTTCTTTAGTCATTTTTCCATTTAAATATCTTAGTTCTTATCAGATTATGAAAGGCTACCAGGGACATGGTTTTTGATGATGAACAAAATTTTCTTTCAGTTACTATACATACCCTTTCTTAATGTTTTCGGTTCTTGATTGCTTTTTGTATGTATCAGATTAGGATACACAAATTCTTGGAGAAAACAATGATAAAGAGGCTGCTAAAATTGGTAGAAGTGAATACAAAGTTTGTGAACATGTTTTTAATGCCTTCTTTAGGTGCTTTAGTGGGTCACACTCTTCTCAAAGTTCATCCTTATATTGAGTTTTAGATCTAATTTCAGCTGATTCTCTACTTATATTTTACACTACATTGACTCTATTTGGTTTTTTTAATCGACCATTTTCTGTTTGTGGTAGGAAATAGATGTGGTTTTAGTATAAGAGATTTTTCTAGGATAGGAATTGTTACAACTATTGTTTTGGTGATGCCATCTACTTTGCTATCAGAATCTGCTTAACGTTAGTTCCATATCTCTTGCTTTAGGGTTTTAATTTTTTTTTTTTTTTTGGATTCTCATTGTATGTCAATTAACAATTGGAATGCTGAGTTTCAATCCAAGTCTCCTATCTTTCTTAAATTCTTGATTTGCCCCTTTGTTTTTATTTATGTTTTATTAATTCTTATTCCCAATATTCTGATCATGCTTTTTTTTCCATTCCCGTTACTTGAAGTGTTGAGTTCTTGATAATGTTGCAGAAAAAACAACCATACTAGGTATGCATTGATCATAGATAACATTATTTTAATTTGTCCAAATACCATAAGAATATGGACATAATTACTAACAGGAAGTTGATGAAACATAACGAATTCACAATCAGAGTAAAAGGATTACTTCCACTTCAAAAGGGGGTATCAGAATTAGCTATAACATTAGAAGATCAAGTTTCCAAATGCTAATGTGAATTATTGATTTAAATGTTTCTTTGTGTTATGGAAATGAAACTTTGAATAATCCTCTTTTTTATCATATGGTTCATTTTACTTACTTTAGCTTTTCATATTGGTTACATTAGTTTATTTTTTAAGTTAATTTGATGTTGTTTGGTTTATAGATGATGTCCTCTTCTCCTTGCAACACATGCTCTCTATTTAAAACCTACTGTGTTCATCCTTTTATGTTTATGTACTCAATTTTAAATCTTTACCAAGCGCTCATCATATGAAAAAAGACAAGTTTACCCTTTTAGCAAAATTATGAGAAACAATTATAGTCAGAGCTCGAAGATGAAAAGTTCTTACTATGGACTCTCAATTTCAGGTAAATCAAGCAACGGTCTTTTTTCTTTTTTCTTTTTTCTAATTTTTTTCATAATTTTCATTTTTTCCATACATTGTATTCTTATTTTTTAACATTTTATGAATTTAAAAGGTAAAACCGAAATAATTGGCTGATGTGAAATGGTTTTTCTTTTTAGTGAGACAAAATAGCAACATAATTTCATTGAAATGTTTATTATACCATCCTACTTTCAGTTTTTGTATTACAATCGTCTTAATAAGAAAAGAAATATTAAAATACAATGCTATAATTGGACAGAATTTTCATAGTCATTGCTTTATTTAATATTCGAGAGGTAACACAAAAGGGTCATTATATTATAACATACTACAATATATTTGTGTACTTGTAAATGGACGAAACGTACATGGGATTGATCTTCCCGTTGGCTTTACTGCAACAGTACTCATAGTGAAACGTCAGCGGGGGGCATAGCGAAATTCATTTCCACACAAAAGTGACACCTTCCGACCCCCGCAACGCGGGGGTCACCTTTCTAGTTATGATATATGGATGTGTGTAACATACTAACATGTGATCATACTATCGAGTATGTATTTCATTCTACGAACTAGTTTCACATATGATCATGTCACATCCAAAGGTTGTGTTTGGCATTTCTGCTTTTAACGAAATCGTTGGTCAAAAATGATTTTTGCCATTCCTTCTAATTTTTAGAATGCCTACGAAATCTCTCTCTCTCTCTCTCTCTCTATATATATATATATATATATATATAAATTACTAAATCGGTAAAATTAAACTTATTAATCTAAATTCATTTATTTATATATATATATATATGGGAAAAGTGAATATACTCTTAAGGGTATATAAGCTTAGGTGCTCAAACCCACCATAATACGTTGTTTTGTTTGACATGTTGATTATAATGTTCTTAAACTTCAACCCCTAACTTAATTTACTTTCTAGATTTTCAAAATTTTACTACTATCTTTCTCTTACATCACATCTTTTTGTCGAACACTACTAGACTATATATATTATAATTGAAAATGAATATTATGTAAAAAGAAGATAAATGTGAAATTTATAAAAAATTTCGAAGTAAATCATCTTAGTAGTTAAATTATAAGAACATTGGGCAATTATATAATTAAACTTATTAATCTATATATATATATATATATATATATATATATATATATATATATATATATATATATTATGTATCTAATAGATACGTTTATAAGTTTGATAAAAATTACTAAATCGCTATAATTAAACTTATTAATCTAAATTCATTTATACAGCATGATAGGAAATATTTCTGAATTATAGAAATGGTAAACTCTCAATGAATGAGCTACTATGTAAAAACATTTATTTCATTATATGGCTTTCCATGTAAAAATTCATCAATAAAAAGTTCCATAAAAGGACCTACCTACAAAATATTACAAAGCTTAGCCACTATATTTATAAGAGATTTTAGTTCTATCAATTAAATGAGAAAAAGTACCAACTAGGTGAGAACCTGGGGGTAATGATGTTAATCAGCTAAGTAAATACACCCTAATGAATGTACTGCGCAATTTTATGAATGCCTGCCTCTCTCACTAACACACATTACATATACATATATATATATATATATATATATATATATATATATATATATATATATAATTTTTACACATTCCCAAATGCTTTTCATACAAGTCGGATAGCGCGATAAGGCAATTACACTCCTCCGCCTGGCATTCTATTTCTTTTATTAAATATTTTAATATTCATAAAAATATAATATGTATAATATATTCTAACATGGTATATTTTAGAATAGTAAAATACCATACATATTATATTGTTATGAAATATTAGAAAAGAATGATCTTATGGTCTTATAAAAATAAATCTTCTCAAATGAACCAACCGATATATATATATATATATATATATATATATATATATATATATATATATATACACACATGTTGGGCCCAAGATCTTTACTATATCCAGGATCCTCAGCAACATCAGGATTCCAATTAAATATCGTTATTATTTTTATCAATATTTATAACGATCATATTTTATCTATAACTAACACGTGTGTAAAAGTAGTCAAGGGAAGACCAATTCACAACAAAGAATCATCTCAACTATGTTAAAGACCCGGAATACTTGGTCAAACAACGTTTATGAAGCTGGTCATAGAGGATCCTGAAAATATCAGACATCTTGTTGGCTGGATTAGACTATAAATTGTCACTTGTAATCTACACAAGACACTGTTCTTTAGCTTAAGTTTACTCTACTAAATTCTCTACTCATTCTTACTAAGAACTCATTGTAATCTTTACTTTATATCAATAAAATCATCAAGGAATGTGCTCATTATCACCTCCCAAGGTTTTATGCCGAAGATCCTAACAAGGATCAAGGGCTTTCCTTGTAAACCATCGTGTCATTTTTTTACTACTTGCTATTACACAATATGAACATCACTGCCTCTCATTCTATTTGGTTGATTAGTACTTGTGTAACTTTTTAGAAAAACAATTTGGCGCCCACTGTGGGGCTATGGTGTTCAAAATCCTCAAAAAAAAAAAATCATCTCTACACAACCAATCCTCTCTTCGTCCTCTGCTCCTTCCATTCCAACCAAAAACCTACCACCTCCTCCAAGTGGACCCCCCACTCAAAGGAAAACGACTGACACTTCCACGAAAAGCACCCCCATAATCGCTAA